ATACACCGTGCCACCAATTTTTATTTTTATTGCAGAAATTGAAGTTAACCCTTTTGTTGGTTGAAAGACTGGATATATTATTTTGAAGAAAATAAGGTAATAAGAGAGCACAAGATACACATTCATTAGAAGATTGAGATTGAGAATTGAGACAGAGGACCACTTCTATGCTTTATATATTGAAGATCTTACTAAAGGAAAAGCTATAATTGTTGATAAATTAATAAGTTAGTTCAAGTTGGCATATAAGGAATTAACCAGGGACCCCTAAGCAGCCATTAGCAAAACCACTCCTTATACTTTATTGCTTGGTCTAGTTTGTTTCAATCTTCCCTAACTTTGTGTTGTGTAGATATATTGATCTCCATCTGGGTGGCTGCCATATTGGCTGGAGAATATATGAGAATATATGTGTGTGGTTGGGGAAAGCTGGTTTGGTGAGTGAACAGAATGAAGTTTATAAAGAACAAGAGAGATCAGTATCCTGAGCCATCTTGAAAATTAGCATTCAAATGTTAAACGTGGCACTAATTAGTTGCAGTGTAATTCCCCTGATAACTCTTAATGGATACTGAAAGGTCCATTCTTTGTCAGATATGACCCAGAAGAGCTGACATCCTTCCTTGATAATTAATGCATCCTCTCTTTCTACTGTACCATATTGCCTCTAGGTGGTGCTTGTGCATCATTTTACTTTTAGTTGTTACTACTAGCAACAGCTAGATGAGATAAGCAGCAAAGGCCAAGATTTGTTACACATGAAGATTTTGCTTGCACACAGGAATCTCCATATAATGGATAAAAACACAAACACCTCTACTTATGAAGTGAAGCCTGTCAGGTTTAGTTTGCTGACTACATCTTTTAGAAAGTCCCTGTATGCTCTGGGAAAATGTGATGTATGAAAATGTCTTCTGAGAAGCAAGACCATTTCACAATAAAAGTTTGTGAAGGATGACATTGGCTGAAAGCCTTTTTTCCTGGATATGTTGATCAAGGCAAGGTGCTTAAAACAGTTCAGAAAACTTGAAAGATTTTCATCAAAAAACAAGAATAATAAGAGAATATACTGTGGCAATTGAAGAGCCAATATGGTGTGGTGATTCAAACATAGAGCTGGGATGAAGGAAGATTTAACTGAACCAACAGAAGAGAACATATGCAGCTCAAGGTTGAATTATGGTCTTGGTGTTCTCTGAGCTTGATTATTTGCTTGCAGACATTTTGTTATCTGACCACGTAATTTCTTCTGTTTCAAATCTTTACCCAGTTCATACCTTCAATTCAAATCTGTACCTGGCTTAACACTATTCATTCTCTTTCAGGCTCATATACCTTACAGCTGTGTTTGATAGAAATTTAAAATTACAATGTAATTTTACAGCATATCTGAATGAATCTGGATGGCATCTGGATGGCAACATACAGAAGAAAATGGCAGTTCAGATATTAAAATGAGAGAGGGAAACTTACAACTATAGAGACTGTTCTGAGATCTTCAAGGAATGTTCATGAGCATCCCCATTATTCAGGAGAAGACTGATTATATGCTTACAATACAATTGTTAAAAACTATTATTTTACTAGGATTAAAACTAAATACCAAATTAATGGTATAATCTGAAGACTGAAAAATTACCCTGAACATCAGAGAAGCTGAAACAATAAACCTGCATGCAAAGAGGTTGAATATAGAGTAGGTAGTAGACTGAAAAAATAGAACCGTAAAGGAAAGGTAAATGAAAGAAACACTATAATTGAATTTAAAATATTTCGTTTAACCAGCCAACCAATTTTTACTACTAGAGGTTTCTAGCATTGAAAAAAGCACTGTTAAATTCACAATAATTCAGCTAGTCTAACTTACATAGAGGTGAAAGATAGCACAATTTTACGTTGCATCTTTTTTTTCATGGAAGCTGATTCTTGCTAGCACCATTTATCTTGATGATCTTTTTCCCCTGAATTCTGTAGCCTCAGTTGTTTAAATCTGAAAATAGTTCTGCAATTTGCAGGGAATTTGGCAAGCTAAAGTATTGAACTTATAGAAGGGGGAATTAAAATGGATTTTTGATCAGAAGAAACCTCCGTACAAAAGATTGTAGTCCACTTGCAGTCCACTAATGACAGAGACAAATTCTGACTAAACACTACCTCATATATTACTGGAAATAGGGGGAAAGCTGTTTATAAAATATTTATAATAGCTATTCAAGAAGGAGGCAGGATAGCTGAGAGAACAGCCTTAAAGAGTATTTTGTTGCATTGTGGTGGTATTCTGTGACAAACATGCTTTTTCCTTTCTTTCTTTCCCACTGATTGCCTCACCTACAGCCCTGTCTCCTCCTCCTTTTGTATGCCATAAAATTCTCTTCTAAATAAACCATGCTGTGGTGAGAGCAAACCTGCCTTATATTTAATTTTCTTCACTTCATACTGAGGAAAGTATTTTATTTTAATAATCAATAATAATCATAGGTGATTATCTATTCCAAAATTAACTTTATTTCTCTCACTGTCTCAGCTATCCCTCAACCATTAACCAAAATCCATGATCCACTGAGGCTGGAAACTATGGAAGATACAGTGCAACAATAGATTGCTAAACTGCACTTGCAGTAAGCTATCAATTGACATCAACAAAGGCAAGTACCAAAACTAAGTACCTGGACAAGAGTAATTAACCAGACAACCTGTTCTTGTTTGTTTATTTGTTTAGGCTGCTAGAAGATGTGTGTTTATTTCAGCCATGTTTCCATATGTATACATTTAAAGAATATGGAGCCATATTTTAAAGAGTTACGTTTATTTTATTCTTCCTTTCCACTTAACCATTTAACGTGATGAGCATGCTATTTGAACTATAACCCAGTCATCATTCTAGTTAAAGAGGACTAGTTTGAATCCAAAACATCCTTAATGATACTAAACAATTTCCCCCTATTTATACTGTATATGTTATACAAAGCCAGAAAAGAGGATTACTAGAAAGGTTAATATTCTTTCTGCATGAAGAATGAACTTAAAGCAATGGAGTAGAACCAGGAACCATGCAGGACACTCTATCACTCTGATTATTTTATTTTCACACACACTTCTTGTGGCCATATGAGGTATACCTATAAAATATGGGAAGAAAGGAATTTTGATATGACTACTATACAGAGTTTTTATTTACAGTAAAACACACATGCACGTATATGTCTGGCAGACTCTGAAAGCTTCTTAGCCAGGCTTCCTACTAAAATGGCTGTCTCTTTTAAACATATGCTGTTAAACGTAAAGAGTATACTGTTTCACTGCTACCTAATGTGGGATAAATATAACAAGTTGTAATTTTCTATTATATAGACTAGCATATAGCTTATGAACTATATATCCAAGGTACAGCCATGTTTAAATTTGCTTTTCAATTGTATTGCTGATGATTTCCCATAAGCCTTAACTTTCAAGAAAAGTCCTCTGTCAGAGACCAGGACTGGCAGGAGAGCATTTAATACATTGTACCATTTTAAGCTGTTCTCAAGTCTCCATGAACAAAGAAAATAGTCAAGCCTGTGGGATGTATCTGCTATGATGTTTTTCTCTTTCACCTGGGAAATGTTCTTTTCCATGGCTATGTTGCAATTCTTGTGAAATAGGGGAACCGATAAGGGAGACACGAGGCGGGGTGAATGTTTAGCAAGCTTGGGGTTTAACTAACAATAAAGGGCTTAACTAACTTTAAACATTTAGGGGTGATAATAGATTCTAGGGGTCGGAAGCATGTGACCAGACTGGGCCTGGAAAGGAATGTGGCATAAACTGACGGGTGTAGGATGATTCTAAAAGTATACTTTTTCATTTCTTGGGTGTGATCTCTTACTTATGTGTATTGAGCTCCACCAGCCTTTGCAAACACTTCAAATCTTTGTTTTGCTTCCAACAACTTTGGAGTTGAGTTTTACTCCTCACACCAAATATATGAACAGATTGGCCAAACTAAACCTAGCTAATAAACCATTCAGAAATAGCTGGATCCAATATCCAATCAATGAAATACAAATGTTTTATTCAAAAATTAAATTGCAGCTGCCTTATTGGAGTCAAGCATATTGTGTCTTTATGTCCATAAAATGTGTCTTTCCATAATGACTGAATGAAAAACCAGATGTTCCCTTTTAGAAACTGACATAATTAAGGTTAGACCTTGGGACCATATTTTAGAGAGCTCTATCTTAGCCATCCAGAAAGTAGACATAATAAAGGGACTGAGAGACAAATATATATAATTGTCTGCAGGACATCACGGGACAGGACTGGTCAAGATTGAGAGACTCCCTCAAAGTCCTTTATTTAAAAAAAAAACATTTTACAGGAGTAAGGGGCCATCAGCTATTAGCTGAATACAATTACAAGTTGGATTTGCAATCAGAAGGATTAACCCTAAAAGTAACAGTAGGTTTTAATGAAAAGTTTTATTGCTTATTTGTTTTGTCTATTATCTCTCTATATTGGATTTTGGGCACTGAGCCTTTTAGGTTTAGGAACCACAGTTTTTCTCTGGCCTTTGATTATTGCACTGAGCAATCAAAAATATGAGCCTGGGACAAAAATTAATTTTCATTTCACTGACATTTGAGTTACAATTCATATTATTACTCTTTAGTCATAAACTTGATATTTTCCTCCCCCACATTAAAAATAAGCACTTAGTAATAACTTAGGGAGGACTATGGAGCCTGAATTTAAGGCTTGGGTGGGGATGACTATTAAAAGAAAGGGAGGAGGAAGAGAAAAACAATATTTAACATCAGAGGAATGCAGAATATCGTATATTCTTATCATTTACTGATTGGCATTGTGTACTTATTTACCTTAGCATGTTACTTTTTTCTTTAGAGGCACTGGACTGTGTCAGATATTTCTTTGATCCACCTCTCCGTGGCCATTCACATGCATACTTTCCTCTTTGCTGTTAACTTTTAAATCCTTTGTGCCCTAACATTTCACAGGGAACTATGTCAGCTGTAGCCTTCAAACTGGCCAGGGAAAAAGCCATCCTAGATGGCCTAGGATCCAGTGGAAATATTGTAAAATACTTAAACCAGGATTTTGAGGCCCTAAAAAAGCAATGTTTGCTCTCTGGGACTCTCTTCAAAGATGAAAAATTTCCTGCCTGCCCCTCCTCTCTTGGCTATAAAGAATTGGGACCTTATTCTTCCAACACTCAGGGGATTATTTGGAAACGACCCCAGGTAAGAATATTGTTTCTGTTGATAATTTGCTGATTAGAAATGACGTTTTGTTTGCTTCAAAGAGTCACACTCAAATTCAAAACAGCTGTATTGTTTTAGGAAATCTCTGAACCTTGGGAAAAGGCTTGTTTTAATATTTCTGCAACAACTTTTGCTTTTGCCTTGATCAAATTGGCAGAGTTTATTCTTGGAAAGTTGCTTAGGGTGTCAATCAAAACATCTGAAAATCTTTGGAAAGACAGTATATTTGAATTAAGGGATGATCATTTTATTGTGTGGAATATAACTGAAAATAATTAAAGTTTATTTTGTTCCCTGGGCCGTGACTCTCTGGAATAAAGGACAGTTGACAAGATTCACCATTGAAAATGACTGGAAATTTATTCTTTTAGGATCTCTTTCTATGCTGTGGACACTTCTGAGGCAAGTGTAGTCAACTGGAGTTGAAGCATTTTAGAGGTAGTAATAGCTTCAGTGTGCCTTCACTGAATGAGAATGGGTGAACATGTTTATTATGGCTTCTTGCCATTTTTATATATTTTGTCATATAATTCCATTGTGTCTTTCTCCATTAATATCAGATTTACAATAACCTCCCTACTTTTAAACAATTATTGTTGTAATTTTTCTCTTAGATGAATATTTTCCATGCAATAAATATTAAATAACTGTTTTCCATTTATGGAAAATAATGATCTTCATCATTAATAGTCAGAATTTGGAAAGCTATTTCAGAACTGCATTTAGAGTTCCAGAATAGTTAGTCTTTATGAATTCTCACTTGTCCCATTTTCAAAGCCACCAGAAATGGAAAATAGCTTTTTAAAAACTTATTTATTATTAAGAATGATGAAAGCATTACAAATGCTATTTTTTTAAATAACATTTTCTTCTTTTTAATCCACAGCTACACAATTCAAATTTGATTTCATTTTCTTTCCTTTTTACAATCCACATGAACAATCTTGCAGATATCTGTAACAATTCAGTACAGAAGCCTTAAGTGTGTTGGATATTATATATATTTTGTGCTATTTATTAATATATAATGTCAGCACGTGCTTTCAAACTTGTGCACAGTCATTGTGTGCTTTTTTCCTCCAGTTTTTGTGTTCTCAATTGTATAACTGATGTTTCTTAAACCTCTCTATAATTTTGAATACATTTCCCGATATACAGAGAGCATTGCCAAAAGCAAAATAAAGGCTTCAAAGTCGTACTCATGCATAAGCAGTGAACCTCTATAAGTAGTACAATTTTATTTATTACTAAATGTTCATTTGAAAGTCACATACTCTCCATTCACTTGATAATAGTTCAAAAACAATGATAATGAAAATATGCAGTCCTTGGTGCTTCACATTTTTCTGATGTTTCTTAAAACTCTCTGTAATTTTGAATACATTTTCAGATTTTGAGAGTGCATTACCAAATGCCAAAAATGAAGGGAGAAAGCTTCAAAGCCTTACTCATGGATAAGCAGTGAACCTCTATAAAACAAAAATGCATATTTTATTTATTATTAAACAATCATTTGAAATATTCACCATTTACTTGGTAATATTTCAGAAACGAACATGAAAATGTATATGATAACAACAATCATGCAATTGTTTTCTGAAGGGGGTAGGAAATGAAAGGTAGTGAGATTCTAATTTTAGTATTAAAATAACTGCTAGAAAGAATAATTTATTTGTTGTTTGATTTCTGAATTAAATTTCTCCATTTTCTAAGAATGCAGTGTAAATGAAGCGTATCATAACATTTGCAATTGTAGAATCATTTTTTTCAATGTAGAATAATTCTCATTAAGATCTTTTCTTAAATCGAATAACTAGCACTAGAACCAAGTTTTTGATTATGCATGCTTCACTGATCAATACATTGGATCTGAGGCTTGCATTAAAAACAGTTCTTCCCTGATAATTGCCCCTTCCATCAGATATGTTTGATTTCAATATCCATTTATCTGATTTAAGCATGGTATATAAAATCATACATTGCAATGTCCTACCTGTCAATGAATACTTCAGCTTCAACCATAACAACACAAGAGCACACAATAGATACAAACTCAAAGTAAACCGCACCAAACTTGATTGCAGGAAATACGACTTCAGCAATAGAGTGGTCAATGTCTGGAATACTCTACCCTACTCTGTAGTTTCTTCCCCAAACCCCAAAAACTTTAACCTTAGACTGTCTACTATTGACCTCACCCTTTTCCTAAGAGGTCTGTAGGGGGCGTGCATAAGCGCACCAACGTGCCTACCGTCCCTGTCCTATTGTTTCTCTTATTCTTCTTTTATTTTTCTTATATGTACCCATTTCATGTATTCACAACTATGTATACACTTATACTTATTATCTTGTAAACAATTGGCAAATCAAATAAATAAAATTTAAAAAAAATAGCAATTCAGTCAGCATGGTCAAACACGGGTAATTGCTCCTTGTCTTGAATAAGAGGGAGGGAAACTGACAAAGAGGCACTCATTTTGTCAACATCTTTGAATTAGGGTCCACAGTGCAAAATTTAGAAGTAGGTAGGGATACTGTATCCAGTTTTGATCATCACATCATAAAAAAGATGTTGAGACTTTAACATGCATGTAGTAGTATGGGTAAAGGCTTCTTGTTGCAAACCTGAGCACTAAACTGAATGTATATATTGTGGCCAAGGTTGCTAAAGTAGCATTGGTGGTGGAGAATTATCTGGAAATTGAGTACTCTGAATAATAAATGCCTGATTGGCTTAGGTCTCTCTTGAAAGTACGTTGATTCTCTTCAAGATCTGATAACATATCTCAGTGTGGATCTAATCTTTCTGTTCTCTACAATTGGCGATTTCAGTCTTTCTCTTGAAATTATTCCATCCAGGCTTCCTTTTGTACCCAACAGTCTATTTACTACATAGTATGCTTTTCAATTCAAATTGTAGACAATGTGCTCAGAGAAAGAGCATTTTTTCTGGTTTCCTATCTGAGCCCTAGTAGAGAATCTTGTATGGATAAAATTAAAACTTTAGCAGAATTTTTGTATGTTATTTTAAACATTAAAATTAAAAATCTTGTATGTATGTATGTATAGTAGATAGTGTATGTATGTTGGTAAATTAATGGTTGTTTCACTGGTAGAAGATTCAACTGAATAGTAAATCAATTTCAGTTGTGTTGTCCTGTGTGTTTAATTTTGGGTATTCCTTTCAATTATTTCTTACAAAAGAATGAATAATAGTATTATCAAGTTTTATTAATGGTTGCAAGAACTGGATTACTCTTCAAATATGAAGAAGAAAGAAATAATTATTACGCAGTTGTACTGTCACCACACTCAGGGCAGACCTTTGGGGCATACAAAAAGAGGAAAAGGCAAGGTTGTGGATGGGACCATCAGAATGGTCATTCTGCTTAAGTAAGCATATTGTTATTTGACAAACACTGCTCATATCACAGGCGATAGGGTGTATAGTACTTTGGTATTCTTAATTTTTTAAAAAATATTGTTTAGCATTTGTATGAGCTGATGTGGAGATAAATCATCTTTCCAACATGTTGGCATATACAGCATCCTACAAAAGTCTACTCTACTTTAAGCAGTCTTTGATATCAGTGTCCATTTCAGCGATTGGACTACAGCAAGTCCCCGTTATCCAATAGTTTGCACTCTCAGCAAGGTCCATAGTTTTCAGTAATCATTCTGTCTCAGTAGATAAGAACCAAGAGTCCCCTTTTCAAGGTTGAAATAAATGTTTAGTAAATCATTGGCTTTGTAGGAACAACTCAAACTCAACCACAGGTGAGGGAGGCTAAAACATTTTAATCAAGTTTTTCTTCTGTGAAACTGTAAAGAAATGTGGGGTGCAAAATCCAGTTGTAATGTTCATCCATTATTTTCAGGAACTGGTCCCAAACCCCCAGTTCATTGAGGGAGGAGCCACTCGTACAGATATTTGTCAGGGGGACCTGGGTGAGTAGAGAAAAGCCACTATTTCTCTCTCTTTTCAGGGAAGAGGGAACTGCAACATATTCTGAACTGCTGGGTGCTGAAATCAAAAAACAAACATGCAAATAGTAAATAAATGTGCTATTTTGTTTGATGACTCAAACACTCTAAACATGGAATAACAATGTGAAATGTTGCTTAAACCCTGACTTTATTGCTTGTTTTGTATGTGTCCCACTGATTAGTCATTGAAACAAAAAGCAATCCTTTGTCAGCTTACCTTTCTGTAAAATATTCTTTCAAACTTAAGACAGAATACTTAATGCAAAGAAATATAGTAAGACTGTCTCCAGGATCTTAATTAATTAAACTTTATTTCTTTGTCAGTAGGAAGAAACTTTGAACTTAGCTTGGTAAGCTTACAAAGGAGCTTTAAAATGTAGAACACTTTCTACTTTTGTAAAAGAGCATATATCCAATAATAGGTTATGACTGGATGATATATACTGTATATACTTACACCAATAAGAATAATACAATTTCTGTAAATGTGCATTTAAACACACCTGTGTGCCATTTTTTATGCATTAAAGCCTTCAAATGGCAGGTGATGGGCTTATTTGTTTTAAGTGTTGTTTTATCACTCTTATGGCCTCTAACAAATTTTCCCTCCATATTGGCATTTACATGATGCATTCAAAAGCAACTGACAATCTGTAATAGAGGTCAAATTTTTAGGTGGTAAAAGCTAGATGTTTATTTCTTTTTCATGATATACACCATTGGCCCTTGGATGTCAAAATATTTTAGCTTGGCCTTATTTAGTAGGTTACATGGCTTTGAGGGAGGAATTGCTCAGTTAATTCATGTCTTTCATAAACTTTTGTGTTTCCAGGAGACTGTTGGCTTTTGGCAGCTGTTGCAAGTCTTACATTAAATGAAGCGATTTTAGAGTGGGTTGTTCCCCATGATCAGAGTTTCCAGAAGGATTATGCTGGGATATTTCATTTCAAGGTATCACTTCTATTTTAAGCTATATACATCTGGTGATAATACTAAGTTAAAGGAGGGGAGACAGAAAGTAGGAGAAAGTCTGGATAAATCTAGTAACATCACAGAAAAGG